GGGGCTACTGGTCTGTGAAGAAGGGGGAAAATCCCCTGGGCCCCTTCCCCCAACACACTGGCTGAGATGGTCATCAACACTCAGATCAATTGCACCCATTAGGGCTTCTGGAACAACACTTTAGATAACTGTCAGTACAGAGGGGTCTACTCAATGCCACTACATGGCCAAATTTAAGGCCAGAGGATGAGCCCCGGCACTGTGGAGCCCGGCTGAGACCAGGCTTGAAATAAACTTATCTACAGGGATATGGCAGACTGATGGGGAGCACCGCACTCCACTGCCACAGTGTTTTATTAGCTCCTACATCATCCAGCTGGGCAGGCACCTGACGGATGACATCAAACAAGAGCAATGAGCCAGGAGATTTAAAGAGGCATGAGAGAGGGAGTGCTGGTTGGAGCCCAGTAGGCTCATACTTACCTTCTGGGAAGAGCACTGGGAGGTAGAGCCAGGGTGAAGAAGGGGCAGGAACCGGGAAGAAAAGAGGCTATAGAGAAGCCCGAACTGAAAGGTGGGTGAATGAAGCTCACCAGGTCCAGCTGTCCTGATGTAAGGGCAGGTGGTCTAAGCCTGAGAGATTTGGGATTTTCTCAAGGGGTTGGGCCTGAAGCAAAGGGCACCCCAATTAGTCCACAGGGACCCATTTTAGCTTGGGACAATTACCCATTTTGACTACTTGTTTTCTGTTGCCGAATGCCAGAGAGACACCGACATGTTGGGGCAAGTTGAGTCATTGGTCCCTAATGTCACTAACCAAAGAGACCACACACACCTGGCAACACCATGGCTAGCGTGTGGATGGGGTGTAAGGGAAGCAGAGCCCCAGATCAATGGGAAATTGCACTGTGAGTAACCTGTGAGACACCACTGACTCCTCCATATCTTTATTATAACAACTAGGGCTTGGTGGCCATGTGAAGTGCCCCTCCCATGAGAAGATACATCCTTCAGGGGAAGCAGTCCTCTCACAGTAGGTTTGGAACAATGTAGCAGTGCTTAAACAGGCTTATTATTATCCCCTAATTCCAACCTCAAGTCCTAAGCGCATAAGCCCACACACAGAGGCTGCAAATTGGGTCTGGTGAGGGGCTGATGGTCAATGATCGTCTATTCATCTTTCATTTTAATTGAAATTTGATACAAATTGTGTGATGCAAATCAGTTAGCACAGTTTAGAAAATCATGAGCACACCAACAAATGGGCCCTGATATAAAATAGAATCCTTAGATGGGGTCACTGTCATTGTCTCCACTTGAAGCAAGCAATCATTGTACATTTTCTGGGACAGTCCTGGACTCTGGGATAGTGTCCTGGTGTTCCAAAGCATCCCTGAAAGCATGTTTAGTCCCAAACTTGGAAAGCTGGTCCCAGATCATCAGTGCCCCCTTTGCCAGCCCCTCCACTCATGAATGCTCTCACACTTCCAGACAGCATTATGATGCACCTGCCAAGAGGCAGAACAGTAGCAGGTCCAAGGTGCTGCAGAGCAAGGTGTGGCTGCAGCAGCAAGCTTACTGTGCATGTGTCTGCCAGCTGAGACCAGAGCTTTTGGTGGTGCCGAAGGGATCTCCACTGGATCCACCTCTGGGCAGAGCTACCTAGTTCATGTGCAGTGCTGCTCAAATGTGGTCATGTTGCTTCCAGTTCAGGAAGGCTAGCTCTGGCCTAGCTAATCTATTTACAGGGCTACGCTACAATGACTGCATTATCTTATTTCCAGTTCCAGCTGAACTGCTTCTGGTATTGGAGGTCTGAAGTGAGCCTCAGATCTGTGGAGTGTCCCAGACCTTGGCTTCCCAAGTTGGTTGCTATATCTCCATTGCTCTCTATTGGAATGGTAGCCTGTTCCCATATGTGTAACCAGAGGGTTTTTTTTGGCAGGGGGTGGTCTTGTGATCCTCCTTCTCTAGTTTATCAGGGCTTGGGACGAGCAACAACATCAGGGTGCGGCAGGTGGGATTCTTTCTGGAAATTTTTAGAGATTTCAGTCTTAGGTATATGATGGAACAAATGCTCAGGACAGAAGTCAGACTTGCCAAACTGTAAATGTCAAAACTCACTCTTCTTTTGCTATTAGTGTCTGCTCTGTTCCACAGTCACTTTTTTCTCATCTTCTTGGATTTGCTTGGATCTCTGCAACTCAAATATGATTGCCAGTTGTTCACCCAGAACAGATCAGCATTTGGCAAAGTACCATCTAATTCAACATACCCCATAAAATCAAGGATTACTCACACGATACATTATTACTCATTGTGAGTAAAGGCATTGGAATCTTGCTCTAAATTTATTTAATTCATAATGTGTTAAAATAGCAATTAATTGAGAATGTCAGAGCTTTATATACATTTATATTTTCCAACTATTCCCTTACCTGTTCTTATCAATATGTCATGTTTAAAAAAATATTACTCCAAGATTTCTTTTCTCTGTTATTTTTGGCTTTTAAAAATATTGCTTATAAATGTCATTTCTTATGAACATTATTTTCTCTCTGGGGAAAAGAATAACTAGAGATGAATTCTTCAAACCATAATTATTCCTTTAACTCCTTTGACTAGCATGGAGTCATTGTAGCTTTACACAGAACTCAGTGAAATATAAACTACCATAAATAATCCGTGCACATGGAAATATTCCGTTTGCATCAATGGGTCTGCTCAGGTGAGGAAGCATTGCAGGGTTGGACTCACCTTCCATATCTGCCTTGAAGATAAATTATTGTGCATTGCTCTGACTTTTGGAAGGAAAGGAGCCTCCAATTCAAACAGTCTGCCTTGGAGCATGTCCCATAGGCTGTGTTCATTCTGCCAAGCAGTGTAGCCAGCAGCACTTAACTCTCACCTGGAATATGCTGTGTGGTATATTTGGGAATTAAGTTTTTAATTGCTCTCGACTTTTCTGATCTTCCTGATGGTGGTTGGCTTCTTGTTAAAAAATGCCACCCAGCAGTGTGTGGGCCCAGTGTCAGACTGTGAGCCAGTCCCCATCTGGCTTTAATTACTAGCTTTACATCAGCAAAAGAAGGTAACATTTAAACACAAATGTTTGATGTTTGCCCAGCGAACCTTAGGGTGGAAAGCTCTTGATAATCTCCTTCACTGGATTGTGGCAGCATGAGTGGGGTAACTGCAGGTTGGGACTATGTTGTATTCGCAGAGCTGCATCTGTCCAATTGAATAAGTTTATATAGCTCAAAATACCACAACAGCTGTGTGCTGTGCAGTCTTTCACATATTACTCCTCTCAACACCTCTCTGAGGTAGGGCAGTTTTCTCAGCAGCAGAACTGAGGCACAGAGAGACACCAAGGACAGATCCTATTCCACCTATTAAATGTCTAAATGAATTTAGATGCTAAACTGGGATCTTGTTTCACCACGCCCAAATCCCTGAAAACTAGTTAATGCACTTACTTTTATAACCTGTTATAACAGGAAACCGAGCGCTCCTCTTACTCTGAGAGAAAGACACTGCAACAGATTATAGCCCAGACAACTGAACAGGGACTAGCTGCAAGAAGAAGGCAGCAAGGAAACACTGCTGTCTAGGTGGGAAATTGCCCATTACTAGAGACCTACCAAATTTGTGATTTCATGGATTTTGCGGATTCCACAAAATGTGGCATTGCCCGAGAAATCTGGCCAATTCCCCAAAGTTCATGGGCTGAAAAACTTCTGAAGAAGAAAGTGCTGCCTCCTTAGAGGGAGCCAGCAGTCCTCAGTGCACTGCAGCAGCTTGGCAGGGTGGGGAAGGAGGGTCTGCCCACTCAAAGGGCTGCGGGCAAAACAGCTGCTGCTCATACCCCTTGTCACTGATTGGCTGTGAGGGCTGCTTGTCATGTGGCCCCATGCCTCTCCACCAATTGGCAGAGGGTAAGGCTACATGATGGGTAGTCCTTGCAGCCAATCAACAGGGAGGGGCAGAACCACATGACAGGCAGCCCCCATAGCCAATCTGTGGTGAGGGGCAGGGCCAATCAGAGGCATTGGGATGGGGGCCACCATACTGCACATGCAAAATGGCTGCCGAGGCCCATGTTCTGCCCCTGGAATTAGAGGCAGCCCCTGCAAATTAAGTAGGTCCCTACCCATTAAGGCAAAGAGGTGCACCTGCAACCAGTCAAAGGGACGCTGTTGAGAATGAGCTGGCTGCAAGAGAATAGGCAACGAATACCTATTGCAGAACTACCTGCTCTGCAATAAGCTCCCTTGCTTAGCCTGCACAGCAAGGGTGCTGCTAGAGCAGCAGGTGTAAGCTGCCATGGAGACCAGCCATTAGGCCCTGCAGGGGGCTGAGGCACCACCTGACCGGAAGGGGCTGGGCTGAGAAGGCATATATAGACACCCCGGGCTGGAACCAGGGGAACAGTCTGGTCCTGTTGGGTGCAGAGGAAAGAGTTCTTGCTCAAGAAGGCTGTAGAGGAGTTCCTGGCTGATAGCTGACCTCTCCTGGGGGCTGCCTGTGGCCTGCAGAAGAATACAACCCAGAGTAGGAGGAAGTCTAATGGCACAGCCAGTGAGCTAGGGCCCAGTATGGGGACCAGTCTGTTTTAGTTAGAAGGCTTGCACTTGTGCTTTAGTTTAAACTGGTGGCTTTGTTATGGATCATCATGGGTGGAGAAGTCCCAGCAAGGCCCAAGCAGGGGAGGGGCAAAGCCAGGGGTGGAAACCCAGAAGCGGGGGTCCAGTGCAGTGGGTCTAGGCTATGGGCCTAGTGAGAGGAACGGGGCTGAGGCTGGGTGGCAATTTGGGACTGATATACCAAAAATATACAGGTGAGGATTTAAGGGACATTGGGAGAACTACCACCTGTGTAGGTGAGCAGGTCTGGAAGAGCAGAGGTTGATGCAAATCAGGAATAAAAAGCTCTGGCAGAGCTGTGTGAAGGAAGGTTGGATGCTGCAGCAAGCTATGAAATGTCCCTCTTTTTTTCTGTAGCTATTGCTCTCCTTCCTAATGAGAAAGCCACTTCATTAGGACAACATCTTGATGGTTCACTGAGGACAGCATGCTGGGATTTGCTGAATGCTTAAATCTCTACATAAACAAAGCTCTTGGATCAGAGGTAGTGTCTTTTATTAGACCAACTAAATAATAACCAAAAAAAAAATGTATTTGCAAGCTTTTGGATACACACACCCTTCTTCAGGCAGAGGAGAATTCAACGATTGTAAACGTTCTCCTAGCTAGAAAAGAAACTTGACAGAGGAGGTAGAGGGTAGAAATGTATCCCCCTGTGTCCCTCAGAGTCCTTGTGTTAGAAGGTTGCTCAGTGATTTGCAGATTAGGCAGACTTTTTCCCTGGAGGTGTCCAATGTCAGACAGGGAGGTGAAAATTTCTTCTTCCTTGGTTAGCAATGACGTTTTACATTTCCAAATGGTTAAATACAATCTTCTATGTTTCAGGGATATATGTTATAGCCATATTGGTCTAAGGAATAGAAATAAACAAAGCTCTTGGGTCAGAGGCAATATCTTTTATTAGACCAGCTAAATAGTAGCAAAAAAGGAGACTTTTTACAGTCTTTGAATTCTCCTCAGCCTGAAAAATGGTGTGTATACTGGAAAGCTTGCAAAGAAATGTTTTTGCTACTATTTTAGTTGGTCTAATAAAATATATTACCTCTGACCCAGAAGCTGTGTTTATCTCTGTTTCTTAGACCAACACGGCTATAACATGTACCCCTAAATCTCTATATGCCGTTCTTAGGAAACTTGGAAGGAGGAATATTTAGAAAAGGAAGGGGGTGGGAAAATAGTATCAATGAAGCTTCTTCATCTAAAGCAAGTCTGTTTCATCCCACACACCATAACCTGCATGTGATATGAACACCCATCCTAGACATTGGGTTTACTTATCATCCTAGATTTAAGGGCAGTCATTGGGCTCAGATGTAAAGCACTAGTGATGAGTGCCAAGGAAGTTCCTTGCATTTGGCTTGCAAATAATGTTTTGCTAACCATCTGCCTAGAAAGGACTCTGAGGCTGGGCGCAGAATAGTTGTTGTTTGAAGGAATGCATATAGAATGGATGCAACTCCATGCTGACCCAAGCCTATATAATTCTTTCCACTTATTCATCTTTGGAGCAGGCTCTAGGACGGAGGTGGGCCAAATGGCAGGTCCAGCCAATGGCCTGACTCCATTTCCCAGCAGCCCCTACCTGCATTGCTACAGCCAGTTTCCATGGAGACCCCAGCAGCAACAGGGCAGTGACAGCACGGGCCAGGGTTTCCATGGAGACCAGCCCCAGCAGTGCTGGCAGGCCATGTGGCTGTGTGGGGAACTGCTTCGGGGCTGGGGCTGGGATCTTGTGGCAGTGACAGTGTGGTCTGGAGCCAAGGCAGAGCCGTGATCTGCTGCCTGCACACCACTGCCTGGGGCATGCAGGCAGTGGATCACAGTTCTGCCCTGGCTCCAGGCCACACTGTCACTGCCGCAAGATCCTGGCACTGAGTCAGCTCCCTGCCCAGCCATGTGCCCTGCCAGCACCGCTGGGGCTGGCCCAGTCTCCATGGAAACCCTGGCTCTGTGCTGTCACGGTCCTGCTGCTGCTGAGGTCTTCATGGAAACTGGCTGCAGTGATGTGGGCAAGGGCTGCTGGGAAATGGAATCCACCGCAGGCTTGGTCTCACCCACAGGCCAGACTTTGCCCACCCCTGCTCTAGCAGCTTAGGCACAGTTCAGACAGACCATCAGCTTGATCTCATGAAGGGAAGTGCAGACAACGGACCAGAAACCCCTCTTCTAGCTTACAACTAGCTGTGAGGTACAGCTGTTGGATCTCCCTAGTTTACAAGGCTTTGCCTCATGCCCACCCATTTGTTGGGTATTATGGATGTTTAGGTCTTTGACTGAGAGAGGTGTATGGTGGCACAGTACTTTACTAGGCTTCTAGCTAGATTTTTTTTAACAAGAGCATCTAGGAGGATTGCTCCTGCATGTCCTAGTTATAGACAAGTATCTTAAATATGTGTACTCTCTGTGACTGCCCTCTTTAGTACAGTGCAAGGATCACCTAGATCACATAGCTAAATGATGACCTGTGGGAAGTGAGCCTGTAGGCATCTTCCAGTTGTGGCATGGGACCCAAGCTGAGCATGGCTGGGTGTTGGGGGTAGGGTGGGGTAGGAGGGATAGAAGAAGGGGGAGTGGAGCAAGTAAGCAGGGTAGGACACCTGTTTTTGCTTGTGTCCTTTCCTTCCACCATTTGGCTTCACTACAGGAGCTCATCCAGTCAAACTGTTGCAACTTGTCACTTATTTTGGCAAGGTTGAGGCAGGACAGGGGGAGAGGATAAATTACAGAACATGTCAGGATAACAAATGTCTCCCCTATATATCAACTGGCTCCAGGTCCACTTATTTGCAGCAGCTTGCTGAAGTCAGGTCAGCCTTGTCGTCATCTCAAGAAGCGTTGCTCAACTTTGGCAAACTTTAAAGGCGAATCCTGACAGACCAAAATAAATCAATCAATAAATAAATTGTCCGTCTCAGCTACTGGATTCTGCAGTGTATTTCCTCATAGCTGATGAAAAATAGTTGAAATGCTTAGTAGCTTCATGAGACTAATTATGATAAACGGCCCCATCGGTGTTAATATCCGGCCATTAATTCCCAGATGGAGCTGAAGAAAATGTCAGGAATGGAAATGTCAGCTCTCTAAAAGGACGTGGCAGGTATTGAAGTGGGGACTGGTGCATCAACATAAGGAGGGGGGAAGGGGTGAGCCAGAAATCAACATGATGATGATATACAATTGGACTCTGTAATTTTCTGACTTGTTATACCATTTCCTTCTAATTAGGCACATCTCCATGACCACAGCTTGTTTCAAATCTTGACTGTTCTTGCCATTCTCTGCAGTTGCTGTTTAGGTGTGGGTTACACACTTCTCCCAGGCTGAGAGAGCTTTTCATGGGCCTTAGAGGCCCTCTCACCCCAATTCAACCCTCCTTACACCATTGCATCCTTATGCTACTGACCCATACTAGGGCATAGCAGGAGAATCTGAACCTGCAAAGCTGGGATCTTTTTAAGAAATTAGTTGCTAGTGCCTGAGCTGAGAGAGCTCTAGAAACTTATGCTGGGCAAAGCAGTCATTGCTGGAGGGTAGCAGCTCCACACAGGTGAGAGTGAGTGGAGCAACCTTATGAAAGCACGTACAGGAGTACTCAGTGCTGGGCATTGGTATTACCTTTCAGGTCCCTGATGTATTTTCTGCACTCCAGAGTCTGTATCCTAAGATGGAGTGTGGTCCTTGGCTTCTGCTGTCCCACTGTACATTCTTAAATTTTAATGACAGATGGTGCACACCGCTGTTGTAATGGGGAGGTAGAACAAAGAATAGATTGTTTGCAATGTTGTTCCACCCACAACACATGCACAGACGTACAGACACATGTACACACAGGAAAACAGTCCTCACTCAAAATTCATATTTCCTTCAATTCAGTTTCCTAGAGATGCTTGTATGATGATCACTTCATATAATATCCGGTGTCATTGAAAAATCCATTTATTTGGTTCCCCTTGACTGGTTTTGAAACATACCAAAATTATAATAAAAAGGATTCATGCAGGAAGATCTGCTCCTTAGGAAGCCTTAAGGTGCTTCAGACATACATGAATTACACAGATAAATGATGTGAACTAACAGATGTTGACAGTCCAATGTTACTGATAGCAGGAAGTCAAGCTGGTTTCTGGTGCAATAAATCAAATGATGAACAAGTAGCAGAAAGATGCAGTTGGGAGCCAGTCTATATACAGAACTTGGAATGACATCATTCTGCACAAGTCAACAATGCAGGTGCCTGGGATGCTGGTTTCATATTCCCCTAGAATGCTGGAATCTGTCTTTTATTCAGGCGTAATGGTGTCTGTTTTGTTATTGTGAAAAACAGATTTGCTAAGGCTCTACCTTAAACTAATACTAGTATAACCTAGCTTGAACCCTGGTCTGTTCTGTGCGTTGATCCAGACATTGGAAAATTCTCAAGAAGTTGTATTTTACACAAAATATTTTTTGTTGGAAAATGCTAGCTTGTGAGACTTCCAAATCTTTGCAGGAATAGGCCAGATTTGGGAAAAACAATTACTGGAGAAAAACTGCTCAGGTCAAAAGGAGAAAGCAACTCATCCACACCAGAGTAGCAAGAGCCTGGTGGTCTTGTCACTAACCTGATCAGTTAAACAATTGTGGTCAAGATTCTTATCTACTTGATTTAAAACAGGGATTTGGACCTGGGTATACTTGAGCATTGCGCTAGTGACTGTTAGGTTCATCCAGGTTGAGAATGGGAACTTTTTTAAAATATTAAAAAGATATTTGAGAGGGGGAAAACCAAATCTTGGGTTGCTCTGGTATAAATGGATATAGATCCATTGAAGTTCAGTGAGATATGCAGAATATAACCAGCTGAGACACGTTTGACTTGTAAGACTGTTAAACCGTGGTAAGGCAATACATTTCCTAGCAGTTACTCGTAAGATGCCATTTTATATTATTTTAAAGGGTTTGGGAGGTATTTCCTAGACGAGAGAGTAGTTTCTGTTTTTATCTTTGTGCATGTATGTGTGTGTGTGCACATGAATGAGTGAGTGAACACAAACACTTTGGCATTTCCAGCAAATCCAAACAGTTCTCTGTTGGCCCTATTTTCCCCTGTAGAATTTGGGGGTGTTTGATTCCATTGTGGGCCAGATTGTGATGATATCTATCTTTACTAATGAATAGTACTAAAGTCAAATGCTCCTCAGTGTGAATAATGATATTGCAATCTGGCCTTCTGTTAAACATAGTTCTATTCACCAATGTTCATATGTCCCAACAGCATTCTCCCCAAGAAGGTGGAGAGCTGTTTTAACACTTTCTGTGTAATTCTGGCATTCTAATCCCACCCCCTTCTCTCTTTTAGGTGAAGTGACCTGTTTGTGCATCATCTGGTGCTGTACAAAATCTGACTCATTATCCTTTAGGCTGGAACTTCTGAAGGAGTTGAGTCCCCAAGCACAGGCATAACTTAAAATGTTGATGCCCTGGGCAGTGCAGGGGTGGAGTGGG